AAGATCATCGTAGACGGGTAGTTGAAAATTTCTGAGTAGGAGTTCTGTTGGGAAATTGGAGAAAGACTTTGCAGACATCGAAACAGAGGAACATAGTGATGATAGAAATAGCCAAACTTTTTCTAAATCATCACCCAAAAACTTTCAACAATTTTTACCTATTTTTTGAAAGTCAGGAAATTTTATTTGCCAAAGCCAAACTTTTTCTAAATAAAGAAGTGAGGGAGCAAGCAAAGTAAAGAACATGTCATTAAAATGAAAAAAAAAAAAAAAAAGGCAAAGGCAAAGAAATGGAAAGAAGTAGCAGGAAATAAGAAGAGAACGAAGAACCAGCAGAGTTGACACATGCAGTATCTGGAAAGAGAAAAGGAAGACCCAAGGTATGTCATCTGTGCTAAACACGAGACAGAAGTGAAGGGGAAGTTGAAGACCTGCTGAATCATCCTACAATACATGGTGAGTGCCATTTCCACAATTAATAATTCCTTGTTTTTAATGAAACTGACATCTTTATCTTATTCCGAAAGAGAATCAATGGAAAGAAGAATTCGGGAATAGTTATTTATACAATCACACTGCACTACTAAGGGATGATGATTTCTTAATTTCTGTTTTTTACCCTGCATAGAATTTTGAATTATCCTTAATTAGGTGCAGTTCAACCCCTAATTGCATCTAATACTCTATTCATAGTGTACACAAGATGTTTGATGAAATGCGCAATTGATGTTGTATATGAAGGGAGGCGCTGATACGGTGAGTTGAGGAGGTAATGGGGATCTCTGCAGAGTTCCCATGCTCACCAACTTAATTTTCAAAAATATTTTTTTGATTAATTTAAAATCATCAATTCTAGTCTTTTTGGATAATAAATACATAGTATCAAATAGAAACAATAAAACATACCTTTCACACAATCTTACTATAATTATCCAAAAAATTAATAGATATTTAATTTACTGAGATTATAGCATTTTAATTAAAAAACTACTTATTTAGACTAAGATACAAAAGATATTCTAAAATTAAGAAGGATATATAAAACATTTAAGAACAAAAAAGGTAGAAAGACAATAGAATTTAACATATAAATAATAAAATAATTATTTTCATTTTTTATGTATATAACTATATATATTAGTGGGTTGGGGAAAATTCCTTACAAAATTTCACCACACCTGGCAAGGAGAGGAGAAAGCATTTGGGGTTCCACCCTCGGATCAGATGCGTGGGGAAATTTGTTATTACCACATGGTCACATACAGATGACATAATCAATTTAGTTTGAATCGGGTTGGTTTCAGGTTATCCATACCAATTTCCATCCCTTTTGGCTTTTCCAAAACTTTGCTTGGCTTCCATGTCAAAGTTGGTTGAGCTTATACATCATATCCTGTTTAGAAAATGACTAGAATAATACAACTAGATGGGACTTAGGTTTATACAATTTTATGTGCAATTTTTGTGCTTTTATCTGTTAAAAATTTTTTTTAAAAAAAAAGCTCTACACTGTAGACAACTTAATTATTTTATTGTACAGTTTTGTAATACAGGTTTCATTAGGAAAGTTGCAATCCATATTATGTGAATGAACCAATAAAAATTCCATGAACATATGCTGTTCTCAATCAATGAGGTTTCGGTCAACTTTTTCTAGACCAATTGAACGGTTGGAGATAAATACATATAATCAGGAAGAAAATACTCGCACAATTATTTTAAAACAAAAGAATTGGTATAAAGAGAAAATTTTGCATAGGATTATAAGTTATAACAGACACCCTTCAGGTTAAAACTTCACCTGGAACTAATATTGTCACCTCCCTTTTCTGATTCCTGTTTTTATTTTGAGAAAAAACTAATGAAGAAGATGAGTTTAGTTTGTTTTCACAACTTCTGAAAATAGAAAGGATATGTCTCCCCTTCTGCAAATCAATTGTTAGTTTTTTGTTTCAGCTCTCATTTCTAAAATTTTCTCTATGATACTAATTACTAAGCAATGTCTAAAATTTCTATTAATTTAATTCTTGTGAAGAACAGCCAGAACAAATGAGCAAAATATTTCTTTTCTGCAATGGACTTCTATTAAGAAGGCGACAAAGGGGGTTAGTTACATAAGGAGGTTATTGGACTAAGCACGTTATAATGTTTCTTAATTTTACATGCAATTCATGTGCGTCTAACCTTTAATAAAATAAGCAGTCATCTTAATTATTTTATTCATGCTTTCTTGTACCAACCATCTGTTGAGGCCTTCACTGGGAGATCTGAATCCAGGTTGGTTGACTGCAAATACAAATTCTATGGAGTGAGAATATGCTGTTCTCTATATATATGAATCTTAATTGGTTTCCTTTGTCTTACAAATGCATTATTGGATAATTTTGTGAAAGGTAACAAAACAAGACCAAACAACTAGCTAATGGGTTAAAAAAACTACCTTTGAGGAGCCAAAAACTATAAAATTGTTCCATTTAATCATTTTTATTAAATAACCATCAACCTTCAATGAGTTCAGAAATATACTATGCGCCAAACAGTCGCTTAAAATCTATCTACAAGAATGGTGCGCATTTAAAGGCAAAATTTCCTTTTGATTTCTTCAAATATATGGATTTTGCTGATCTTTTTGCTATATTCTTGTATCTTAATCCTTTTCTCCTTCTTTGTTTTCTGTTTTGATTATGTAGCTTACAATACAGGAATTTATCTGCTACTCAATCTTTGAATATAAAAGGCTTCGTTTGAAAATAAAAAATGAAATAAACTAGACTAGCATTTCTTTTGGTTGTCACAAGTACACAGAAGATTGTTTCTGATTGGTCTTTTGCTCTCAAACTGGGGAAGCCACAATAGGAACAGAGTTAGTCTTTTCGGGCAATTGACTATGTTTGTGTTTATATTTGGAACCGGAGGGGAAGCATAAGCTCAGTCTTTGTTTTATAATCAAAACTATATCATCTCATTATGGATAAAACCAGGCAAAATAATGCAACTTGTTAGACTTGATGGATCATGCATCTAAGTTCTAAAAAAACTAGGTTTAATATATCAGTGTGTGGATGCATCCTATGCCTCCTTTAAAATAGTTCTAATCTCAATGTCAATAAAGAGATGCACTTTGTTAGTAACACAAAAAACAAAGTTTAACAAACTAGCAAGTGGCCTTTTTCTATGAGGACTTAGGGATTAGTCCTTTTAAGAAATCAAGCAAAGCTCCTATTTAATAAACTAGCAAGTTGTATTTTCTCTGTTAAATAAATTTTCTAGTGGCATTTCCTATTAACATACCATTTTATCATATATAACAATTCATTGGTAACTGATTCTTCACACTCAATGACAAAGAAGAGAACCTGTTACCTTTGTCACTTTTTGGGTGCATTTTCAAATTCTATTACTACGTTTCACAAGTCTTCTTAAAATAAATATAATCATGTTGTGTTACACATGCCCTTGTATAACAATAATCAGAGGAGCAAAGTGTAGGATCTATTATATATACTACCCTTGACCTTTCCATGTTTATAAGAGTGTCTTCAGTCTTAGAGATAGAAGAAAGATGAAGCCTAAGGCTCAGATAACCATGTTTACAGTTGTTCTAGGTGTTTCAATAGTTTTAAATTTCTTTTCCTTTGGTAGGCTGTATTTAAACTCAGACGACGACCCAGATCTGACTTGGACAGAAGATGCTGCAGAAGAAGCTGAAGCTGTGGCATCTATTAAATGTTCAGGCCATGGAATGGCCTTCTTAGATGGGTTAGTCAGTGTTGAAGGGAAGCCGGTCTGCGAATGCCATGCATGCTATACAGGCCCTGATTGCGCAGGAGTCATACAGGGATGTTTTATTGAAGCAGATAGGTAATTACATACCTCTTTATTTTCTTAAGCACTCACTGTTTGTTTATCAACAAAATTTCATCTTGTTTTACGCTTTGCAGTGGAGATCCTATGTTCCTGGAGCCCTTTTGGATGCAGCATGCCTCAGGTAGTACCATTGTATTGGCCCCATGGCATCGTATGAGCTATGATTTGGGTGATGGTTCTCTCATTTCCAAAGAGCTTGAGACTCGAATCCACAAACTCCATGAAATTACTAAGAATGCCAACACTGATGGAAAGTATATTGTCTTTGGTGCTGGCTCAACCCAACTTCTCAATGCGGCTGTTCATGCCCTTTCTGTGGACAATGACCCTGCTGCTTCGAGGGTTGTGGCTTCCACCCCACACTATCCTGTTGGTTTTGATCCCTTGTATTAATCTGACCATATAAGCTATTAGGTTAAACGATTATTGATAGATTTGATGATGTAAGTTAATTTTATTTAAACTTACATTACAGGTTTATAGGGAGCAGACAGAATTCTCGACTCTGATAATTATGATTTTAATGGAGATACTTACACGCACAAGAACGATATTGGGAATTTCATTGAGTTTGTGACGTCGCCAGACAATCCTGATGGTCAACTAAGGAAGGGAATTCTTGAAGGTTCAAATGTAAAGAGAATCCATGATTTTGCCTACTATTGGCCACATTATACAGCCATCCCTTATCCAACTGATGAAGATCTCATGCTATTCACTCTCTCTACGCTTACCGGACATGGTGGCAGCAGATTTGGGTAAGAATTCTCGTTGTTACCTTCCTTCTCGAGGTTTGTTTTGTTTGGTATATCAAATGATGAGCAATAAGGGATAACATCTCTTTCTCCAAAACTTTTTTCACCTAACTAAACACGAGATTTTAAACTTTGAGTTTCAATTTTTATTAAATTTTACATATAAATTTTTAGGTAAAATAGTTTTTCACTACTTTAATTTAAATTTCTAATTTTCTATTTAAGATGGGAAATTGAGCATTGACCAAGTATCCTTCAAGAAAAGTTTTTGCTTTAATCCAGATTGGGGGCTTATTTTTGAACTGTATTTAATTAATTCAAATAATACTTATTATTTAAAATAACTATATCCATTAGTAATTAGTTTACGATTGAATTATTTTACAAGTCCCTGTTGATGCCGGAATCAAATAATGAAAAAGGTATAATTGATTTTATTTTTAGTCTCTTTCTTTTTTTTGGTCTGGGGTTAGGACTTAGGAGTGTGATTGTAAGGAAGAAAATGATAGGCTAAAGTGTACAACATTAAAAGATTTTCTTGATCTTATCTTATAATAGTATCATAATATAATTATGATAACAGACCATTTTTAATTAGTTCAATATGAATTATGCATCCACTTGTTAACTATTTTGTGACCAAACTCAATCTTAAGATATAATTGTGTTGAGTTTATTTTTAAAAAGATGAATATTATAATTTACTTTTGAATTAAAAATTTTAGAAAGCAAACAAACACTTTTGGTCGAGTGATTCATCTTTAAACCTTTGTATTTAGATTCAATTAGTTGAGAGTTCAACTTCTACCAACTACTTAAAAAATTTCTCTTTCCCCTTGATTTACCATGATCAAAAGGAGAAAAAATTAGAAAGTTGTATCTGATTTGAAGTGTTGATTTTCCCTTTCCAGGTGGGCAATAGTAAAGGATAAAGCTGTATATGAAGACATGCTTAAATATATGAGTCTAAGTACTTATGGTGTCTCTAAAGAGACTCAGCTCCGAGCCTTGAAACTGCTTGATGTAGTTATTGCAACTGCAGGGAGGGAAATGTTCGACTTCGGGTATAGTACCATGAAGGAGCGGTGGGGTAAGTTCAGCAAGGTTTTGTCCATGTCCAAACGTATTTCCTGCCAGCAATTTGATCCCCTACGCTTCTGTAACTATTTTCAAGAGCTCAAAGGACCTACTCCCCGTAAGTTTTTCACTCAGTAGAATCTCGTGAATCAGCATACACCACTCTTTTGATGTTGACTAATTTCTTTTTTCGGTCTAAATAGCAGAAGGTTATGATTCTTGATACGAACTTTATCTACGAATGAAAATGTACAGCTCCTAATAACATGTTATTTTCTTGGTTGGCAGCATTTGTATGGCTGAAATGCGAGAGGGAAGAAGACGTAGATTGCAATGCAGTGCTAAAATTAGTTAACATGATCGACTGGCCGTGATGGCCCTCAGTTTGGTGCTGCTAGGCGACAAGTATGGCTCACCTTAGTGAATACTCAGGATGACTTTGAATTACTGATCCAAAGGATGTAGATGTTAGTTTCTGCAGAAAATAACAGCACCAAAATTGTGGAACAAAATGGTAGTATGAATGTGTCCATGGTTTGAAATACCATGCCATCACCCTTAAGGGAAATCTACGTTATATTTATAGGTGCAATGACATAACTATTGACCTCATATAAAATTTATCTCGTAGGTTGTGTTCAAGTCCCACCAATTCCTTCTCCATTTTCCATTTTCCATTCCCCCTCCCTTTAGTTGTAACAAATTACCTATGTAAGAAAAAAAAGCCTATCACCCTAGAGGTTTGTTTTGAATTAGCAAAAACCCAACTTCAGTCTTCAAATTTATTTTAAAATAATATTTAAGTTCCTAAACTAAAAATGAAGCAAATAAAACCTCTAATTCCATTAATAATGCAATAAACTCTTCTCACAAATGAGCTAAATAGTATTTCATGTTTAATATCACTTCACAAGTATGACCACCTACGAATGAGAAGGACCACCCACGAATGAAAAGGACTTACTTGCATCATTAGTGAAATTGGATAGTTTATTTCTTTCATTTTTAATTCAAAAGCTTAAATGCTATTTTGACATAAATCTAAACGCTTAAGAGAAGTTTTTACCTTTTGAATTTGGTGATATAAAAAAGATTGCTTTTACTTTTTTGCTGACGTTGAAGTATCATCCGCTTTATCCTGTATGTTGACAATTGATATTACTAACATTTTCATCATGTATGTTACTGCATTGCAAAATTCTCTGAAGAAAACTATGAATCAATCCATTCAAACACTATAAAAGTTCTACGGTCCCCCTAAAAAAAAAGCACACGAATTAAAAGTTCTCTGCTTTCTATGGTGTTTCCACTTTATGTGCATGTTCTTCGGTAAATCGATTAGGCCACTTCTTTTTTCTTTTTTTCTTTTTTTTTCTGAAGTTTCCAGTGGCAAACGGTGAGCAGTTAATGGGCTTGCCGTCACCTATCCATATTCCATAGCGTTTTGAGGAAAATTATTATGAATCTATGATCCACTATGGAAAAGGCTGTAAGATGCCCGACACACACTGGTACCTCCCGTCGTACTTTCTAAAAAGAAGATCCTCTAAATTGTTGGGCAATTTCAATTTTTAATATTTTCTTTTTAATTTTATTTTTATTAATAATTATTTTACTTTTTAAAAAATATTTATTAATAATAATTTAAAAATATATATATTAATGAGAGATCTATTAACAAATAAAAAATATCATTTTTATTATATAATTTAAAATAAAAATATATATTTTAACTCTTTAATTATTCTTTTTAATAAGAATAATTATAAATTTTTTAATAATAATAATTAATTAATATATTTTTATAAATTTTTAAATTTTCTCTGCAATCATGCCTCGTAAAAATAAAGTAAAGTAACGTTCATTGGAAAAAGTAACCCCAAAAATTTGTGACCAAAAGCGATTAGTCATTATGTTAATAAAAAATGGATCGGTGGTATGTTTACAAATTGGACCACTGCAGAAACAGGACGGAAGTACTACACGTTCTCTGAATAATCACCCGGTTGATTTTTCTTTGTGTGGAATTAATCTCCCAAGTTTTTTCAAGATTCTGCTCGTTGAATAAAAACAGGAGCCCATCAATTTGTTCGATGAAATCGTTTCCAAAATTGATTCAAAAACCAAAAACCACTGCACCACCACTTAATTGAGCGTTATTTTCTATGACCAGATTTTCTTCACCAACTGATAAAATTTCCTAGTCCTCGTCAACAGAGAAAAAGGAAAAGCTTCGCCCTCGTATTACGTGGCTATTTTGTCAGACTGTAAAGCAATCGTCATGGCTTATGAAATCTTCACGAATTCATGGATGGATATGTTCTTTCCATTTTTTTCAAAAACTGTATCCTGATGACGACAGTTCGATCTCTTGAAAAATTACAAGTTTAAAGCAGGCACGCAACTTCGCAAAATACAAGTAAAAGAAAAAAAAAAAAATACAAACAATTGACTTGATTATATTTATTGACTTAATTATTAATTAGCGGTGGGACTGGATTTCAAAGTTTCTACTTTCTAGCTTTGATCACTCATTTAAAAATGGTTAAATGCCCGATTTGATCCCTAAACTTTCATTTCTAAACTTAGTTCGTCCTTTATGAAGTTAAAGGACCCAAATCGTACTTAAAGTTTATTTTTCCATAACTAAATTGGTCCTTCCGTAACGGAAGTGCCCACTTGGTATGTTAAGTCTCTACAATTTAATGCTTTTAATTTTCAAATGCTTACGCGGAAAAAACACAATAATTAATTGATGACATGGTAAAAATTATTAAATATAATACTGATAAAAAAATAGAACAGAAAAAAAAAATTTCTTAATTGATTCATTCTTAATAAATTTAAAAGATTTAAATTAATTGATTGTTGTATTTAATACAGATAATTAAGAAATCAATTAACTCATAATTAATTCGATTATGATAACCTCGTAAAATATATTAAATTAATTGATTCATTCAATAATTTGGGAAAAAATTAAATTCTTTTAATTGGATTTCATCCTCCTCTTCTCCGATGAAAAACTCAGATCAAAATTTGGGATTCTTAATAAATCTAGCTAGCAAAAATCTCATCACTAGAAAACAATAAGAACAACCCACAAAATCAAAATCAAGAATCCCTAACGTTTCCTCATACAAATGGGAAAAGCTTGACTTGTCTGCTGCGATTTCCAAAGAAGAAAAGGAAGAATTAGGTTGATCATCATTCACTGTGTTTGAAAACCCATGTCTCCAAGTCTTTATCGTGGCGACAACGGTGGCGAGAAAACTAAAGATCGACAGTAAACGAGCTCCTTGTTTTGGAGACCTTGTCAGATAGGTCGGAGGTGTATTTCACGAGGGCCACCGCTAGATCATCCTCCGAATCAAAGACGCTCACCATCTTCCCTTCACTTTTCTCTATCACCATCCTTATGTCTACGACCATCGCCTTCGTTCTGCACCCAAACCCCTTGATTTCGTGTCGACAACAAAAGCCCCTTCGAAACCGCCGTGCTTGCAAGGGTTTTCAACGTTGTCGGCCTTGAGACCAACGAAGCGTAGTACGAAATGAGATGGAATCTGGAAGAAGAAAGCAGGGTGCGGAGCGAGGTGGGTAAATGGAGAGAGGAAAATGGATTTGGAGTATTGAAAATGGAAATGGATTCTTGATTTTGACTTTGTGGGTTGTAACTAAGCATTTAAAAATTAAAAAAACTAAATTGTGGAGACTTAACGTGCCAGGTGGGCACTTCCGTCACGGAAGGGCCAATTTAGTTACGAGAAAATAAACTTTAAGGATGATTTGGGTCCCTTTTGAAGTTAAAGGACGAACTAAGTTCAGAAATGAAAGTTTAGGGACCAAATTGGGTATTTAACCTTTAAAAATTAACCTTTGCCTGGGGTAGCGATAAT